TGGACAAGGCCTAAAATAATCAAAGGTTTTTAATGGTACACATTTTGTCCTCGCTCTCTCCTTATAAAAAATATAAATTCACATGTGATTAAGATGGACAAATCAGCTGAATTCACCGACTTTATGCAGAGCATTTGTTGGAGCGATGCTGATTTTTTATTATTTTTTACTTGTATTTTCCAAAGATCTGTCTTAATTCCTGTTGATGAAGTGGCTCAGCCGGCTGCCGGTCCTTCTAGACTCGTATTTACTTTTAGGACGGCTCATTTGACACCCGCATCTAACTTTAGCGTGCCGTGTCAAAGGTGGAAACAAGGATACTCTGACTGACGGTGGGAGTCTGGAAAGAAGAGTTCAGTTGGAGGATTGTTGGACATTTTTCACAATCTAAGCAGATTTAAACCCCTTTCCGTGGGGTTTATTGTGCAGCCGTACCGTTGTGTGGCAAATATTCTTGATATCAAGAGAGAACGCTCGCACGCCCGCTTCCTCTTTTTCATGCCTTCTTATCAGCTGATCCTGAGCCGGAAGCTAGGAGTAGTTGCTCAGCAGAAAAGAAAAAAAAAACTGTAATTGTGCCGAGGCTCGGCTATAAATAAGAGAAAAGGCCCAAATGCTCTTGGATCAGTCCCATGCACTGTCCTCGTCTCACGTTGCCTCTTCCCTTGTTCATTTGTCATCCTCGCTCCTTTCATCTTTTTTGTCCTGAACGCCTCCTCTGCATTCTGCTCACTCTCTTCCTCCTCCACCTCCTCCTCTCTCTCGCTGCTCCACTTATAAGATTTGGCAGCACTCCACGATCTGAGAAAAACATTGGAGGCACAGCCTTGTTCTGATGTCTGGAAAGAAGGGAGGGGGGGGGGGGGGGAGAGACCGAGTCCTGATTTCCATTTCACAGGCTTGATTTACAGCAGAAAGGAGGGAGTGTAGGAATACGGAGGGAGGTTGAGTTTAACCAGCAGTCAAAAACAAAGAAGGACACACAAAAAACGGAATGTGGGTTCACTAAACGCCATAAAAAGGCACGAAAAAGGGCAAAAGCGAACCAAAAAAAAAAAAATAATCCAACAGCAATGACGAGAACAATGAAAGTTTTGTTATTTCTTGAAAAAGGCAGAGAAAACACACACAAAAAAAGTTTATATGTTGTTTATAGTCTGAGTAGAAACACGTTTGGCACTCAGCGCTGTAATCATCCTAACTTTCTGCAGATCTCCGTGGTAAACAGGCCGGTCACATGTACGGGCCGGGCCAAGAATCCGAGAGGAGATTTTACACATCCTGCCGACTTCGCCTCGCTCCTCCTAATTGCTGGTTGGAGCTCGAGCTTCTCCCTCCGTGCCGCGAAGAGAAGCCGTCGTTACCGGCCTCGCAGGAGCCTCCGGAGGGGAAACTGATTGATGAAAAGGGAAACCAAGAGGCAGATCTGAGCGTGCCCTCGATACAGCGTTTGCCGTGACCTTGTTTTTCCCTGACAGGTCTAAAATTAACCGAGCGGATCAGTTATACTGGGAGCGGAGAAATGTGGACCAGATCCTCCTTTTGGCGCGTCCCCGGCTCCGCTCGCTTTCAGGGGGGGGGGGATTACTGCGGCCTTTCTGATTTATTGTGCTAAACATAGATTCATTAGTGAAACAGCTGGCTGCGTTGAGCGCTTCATGTCTCCCACCCACCTACTGGACGAAAGTCAACGTTTTAGCGTGAGATAAGCGCCTCAGGATTCAACTTTATAGTAATTTTAAGCAAACGAGCCGTCGGTGTTAGCGTCACGGTCGACTCCTAGTCCTATTTAAAGACCGAGTTTAGCTTGAAGGGATGCACATCGCCCGTTGTTTGTGAATAAAATCATCTTTGTAATGAGAAGTGACGGAGTTACAACCGCTTAGATCCAGCGACGTGCAAGATGCATTGGGGTTGACTTTCGGATATCACCGAGCTAAACTTTGGCTGGTGTCTGTTAGCTGTGATCTACTTTCCTTCAACGTAGTATCGGTGTTTAACGGTCTTCGTGTTATTACAGTTTGAACGTGGGCGGCTGTGGCTGAATGGTTAGAGCAACTGTCCTCCAATGCAAGAGTTAAGGGTTCAAATCCACCAGCAGTCACATGCCAAAGTGTCCCTGGGCAAGACATTGAACCCCTCGTTGCCTCCGATGTGTCCCATTGGTGTATGAATGTGATAAAGCACTGACTGGTCTTTGTAGAGATCTTGTAAAGTGCTGTATGAACGGGTAAATGAGGCACAGACTGTGTTGTAAAGCTCTTTGTGTCATAAGATAAAAAGGTGATATATCAGTACAGTCCGTTTACGTGTTGCTATGCAAGAGTCTGGGTTTTATCTGCAGAGAGGAGCGCTGACCTGAACCGTACCTCGTGCTGTAACCACAGCCGAGCTGACCTCTGAGTTACGACCGTTAACGTCAACCTTTGTGTAGACGTCACCTCGCTGGCCCACAGCCCGGTTAACCATTTACAGCCGGGCGAAACAAAGCGACGCGCTCCGCCCGTCGGTTACTGCCTCTCACTTAGCTTGATTAACAGGACGGTGTGAGGCGGATCAATCAGTCCACGGAGGGCTTTCATGACCATTGATCAGTGTGTGTGTGTGTTGCAGCGGCTTGATAAAAGAACGCCTGGGTTCGTGTGCAACACTTGGCTCAGGTCCAGCAAACTGCACGGCCTAACCCAGATAAGTAAACCAGGAGAGGCGACATGAAATCACATCTTCGGCTGAGGGTTCACCTGCGGCTCTTTGAGGCTTTGACCAAAAACTACAGAAACGGAAAACTATCCATTTTTATCAGAGTTCTAAATGTAAATGATAATTTTCATCTGTTTGATTTGGTGCTGCTTATGAAGCGAGGAGGTAAAATGCGTTAGCGCTAGTCGTTTGTTAGCATGGTAGCTACTTTTTAGCCCAACTTCCAGACAAACGGGATTTTTCCTCACAAAACGTTTACGCGTGTATTCTCAAGCCAGTTGGGACTTTTATTCTCTGGTTGGAAGTATTTTGCTCCGTTCACACCTTGATGTCCCGAGCCAGGCAGCTGAAATGACCCTCAGGAGGGAGGGGACGAAGATTAATCTGCACCAGAACTCCCAACTCTCCGGTTTGGAAACGAGATGAGCAAAACAAAGTACAGAATAAAACTCCAGTCACTTATATATATATATTTTCTCAAGCTTTCAGGATTTGACATTTGAAGCGTTGTTGATAAAACTTTTAAGTTACAAGTCTTTGAAATTAAGCGTTTTACAAAATATATCAAACTGTGGTGACTAACGAAAAGAAAAACTCATAAAGTTTAAATAAATGTCTCAAGCTTAGGACTCGCAGGGTTTAAACTCAAGGCCCGAGGGCCAAATGTGGCCTTTGCTAACATCTTATCTGGCCCTAAGAAGTGAGATTTTAAAATAAAAACATTTTATCGCTTCTCATTTTACATAAAAAAACGAGCACTTTATTCAGCGCGGACTTCTCGAGTCAGCTTTGAAGCCGAGAAATGTTTTTTTCCTGTAATCGAGGCGGTAAAAGAGACGGAGAACGTCAAACGAGGCGGATGAAGCTCTAGTTGTCAGACAGGAAGTGACCCTTGGTTTATAATTTTGACCCCCTCTGATTAAAATATTTAAATACCGTCCCGATTTTTACAACACATTAAGTCTTGAGTTTTTAAAAACCTGTATCCAGAAGGTTTTGCAGCCGTTTTGGCAAATGGCTCGTCTGGTTGTGATGGACCGTTGACCCTGGACAGTTTCAGGGTAAGAGCACATCGAAGCAACTCTTCTGCAGCTTAAATATAAATAAAATAATAATCCCCGAAGGTTGTTGTCAGTAAACAAAACGAGTCATTAACCACAAATGGCTGCAATCGCACCGAGAGGAGACAATTTCCCTCATTTGTGGTGTAAACAAAGACGTACGCTACTATCAGAACTCGTTTAACCCCCACCCTGCCTCAACGTACGAATCACCACGCTGCACCGGAACATATGTTGTGCGCCGGAAGCCACGCGGCCGGTGAGCTTCGTGTTATGACGGCCCTGCTTCCAGGGACACGCTCTGACTGCATTAGCTGCAGCGCGGGCTATTTTAATCAGCGCTGAACAAACAGGTCTGCTGACGTAAATCTTTACGGGCCGGAGAACCGCTCTTCTGTTTTATTGAGCCGTCCTTTAAGCTCGGGGCATAAAACCCTGTCGGGTTTTCTCAGAAGTGGCTTGTTGGATTTGGCTGCTGATAAGGGGACAGTTAGGTCAAAGTATATATATATATATATATATATAATTAAAAACATGACAAGATGGAGAGTGTGGAGTTTATCAAAGTGGGTTTTAAAGTCCAACTGATAACTTTCCAAAGACAAAAGGGAAAGAGGCATAAACAGCCAGCTCAGGAGAAGCAGTCCATTCAGCACCTTGGGATGAAACCCGCCCTCCAAGCTGGTGCTCATCAGTTTATTCAGCGGGGTATACATAAAAAAAGGCTTCAATCTTCAGCTGATGCACGGATTTGTGAATCGTTAAAATTCTTAAAAATCAAGTTTTGCTCGGGAGAAAGTGCGCTGCGGCCCGAAGCGTTGGAACGACTTCAGGCAGCAAGGTGCTCCCGTGTGGCGTTCAGAGGACCGGCTGGGTCCTGTGGCTGCACCTGAACCAGATGTAACGCTCGTTATACTCCACATCTGTAGCCCGCCGAGCGTCTGAACCGTCTGTTTTTTGTTGCTGCAAAATGTCGCCGGCGTCTGAAACAGTCCAGACTTGTGGTCTTGTTGACATTCATGCGCCTTCCTATTGAGTGACTCATCAGATTCCAGTGGGCTGAACATGACTCGGCGACTCTTTCTGCGCTTCGCAATCGAAAAAAGGATTGAGCTTGCGTTTTGTTTTTGCGTCCCTCTGCGTAAATGTGCAGACGGCTGGTTTCCCCCTGCAGCTTTAAGCCCCTGAGCCGTCACAACAAGCTCAACTCACCCAAATGAAGCAAGCCCAGACAGTGTGTTCATACAAGATCAGAAATTGTATTTGGCAATTTTTTTTTTTTTTTTTAAACAAGTGCATACAAGTACAGCTAAAAGCATTTTTAGTTTTGCCAAGTGCTCGTAGAGTAGCATTAGTCACATTCTACGTTAAACAGGAACTGCCACCAGACCTAGAAGTACATCGAGATTTTTTGTTAAACATCAACAAAGGGGAACGTCGTTCGTTATGATGAGTACATACCTTTATCTTCAAAAATATAGAAACACAATGTATTCAAAAATCAAAAATTATACAACCATGTTTACGAAGTATACTCTTCCCTTGGGTCCAATATGTACAAGTCTGTTAGTTTGTTTTGAATGGTATGTATGTGATATTTATATATTTATACTTGTTTTTTTTTGGGACTCCCCTCCCCGAGGAAGTGTTCAGACAAAATCAAGGATCCCTCTCCTTTTTTACTTTGACGTCTCCTGCGAGGATGGTGGCGATCTCCCCCTGCATGAAGGCCCACGGTACGTTCGAGCCGACCAGGGGGCACTTCTCTCCGCTCGGACAGTACACCTCGCCCGTGGCGCCTTGCTGCTTTATGCTTTCCCTCGAGCACGGGAAGCAGAACTTGTGAGAGGGCACGGACGGGCACTGAACAAAGTGCGTGTCCTCCAAACGCTCGTGGCACAGCGTGCAGCACAGAGGTATGCTGCCCGGCACCGAGGAGTCCGGAATGCTGGGGGGGTGCACCTGGTCCATGCCCTGCACCTGCGGGGTGCCTGCGCCGGACGCCTCCCTCTGCGCCAGCCGCCTCTGGTTCATGGAGGACGGCGACAGCGGGCTGCTGCTGTTCCTCCGGGTGGTGGAGTGCACCTGGTTGCCGTCCTTGGGGGAGCTGTTTCCACCTGCGTTGTCCGCCGCCATGATGAGCGCCGCCATGGGGGACTGGCCGTTCTGGGCTGCCTCAGGCGGGGTGGTGCGTGGGTGGGGGGATATTGTGGAAGGGGGGGAGGCGAAGCTCGGCGGGGGCACCGGAGGCATTTTGAGTCCTTCGTTGGGTGGCGGTAACCACTGCTGTCCCTCCCCGTTGAGCTTGGCGGCGGTGCCCTCTCCCTCGGGTTCAGGCGAGGCTTTTCTCTTCATGCGGGGGTGTTTTCCTCGGTCTGTCGGAGGGAACAGGTTCAAGAAAACAGTTGAGTCGCTGCTCCAGACAACAAAGCAAACAGCACACAAGCACATGAATGCAACCTAAAGCACCCCCCCCCAGGTTTAATCAGAACAGATGCTGTACCTGACTTGGAAGCCGTGGCGCTGCTCTCGTAGCCCATGACCCGTTGCTGCATGGCCGCATGGTCCTTCTTGAACCTGCTGTCGAACGTGTGCAGCGCCATCAGGTCCCGCACCGTCTTGCCTTTGCTCCACTCCTGCTCCGCCCGGTTCTTGTGGCTCTCCGGGATCTCCGGGGTCAGGCTGTCCGGTCTGTGCTTCTCCTTCGCCTCCCTGTCGTGCTCGGTGCTGGACACCGAGGCGGGTCTCTTGCCCAGGTCGGCGGGACTGCCGGAGGGGAGCCCCATGATCTGGCCCGGTCTCCCGTTCACGTGCACCGGCAAGTTCCCGTTAACCACCAAAGGCATGAGGTTGGGGCCCGAGATATTCCTGCGCGGGTTCGGGCTCTGACGGTTCAGCTCTGGCGGCTCATCGGGTTTAGGAAATCCGTTCGGGACCGGGATACCGTTCGCCTGCCTGCTAGACTGGTACTCTGGACCCAGCCTGGGCGGGCGGTCGGAGGACAGCGGGTAGCGGTCCAGCGGCTGCGGCGGCCGGGAGCCCGGGTCGCCCGCCGCGGCGTGGATGTCCTTCCCGGAGAGCTGCTGCGCCGCCTTCCCCGGCCCGGGAGAGCGCCCCTCCTGGAAGCCGTGAGCCCGCTTGAGCTGCCGGGCCGTCTCGATGACGAACTCGATGCGGTCCGCTCCTTCGTAGTTGACACATCCCCTGCAGACGGGCTCGGTAAAATCCCAAATCATGGCCCAGGGCATGCGGGGCAGGTCGCACAAATAACACGACTGCCTCCTGGAAGAAGCAGCGACCGCCGCGGACGACATCTCGCTCGTCGTCGACCGTTCGAAACGGGAGGGAAAAAAAAAAAAAAAAACAACAACCCCAAAATGTCTTCCTCTCCGGGGGTGGGTTATTTTCCGTGAATGAAACCAAAAAAACAAACACCACGCTCCGTCGGAAAGAAAGGCGGCGAAGGAAAGAGGTCCTCTCCCGGGTTTCTGGAGGCTGAAGTTAGAGGGAGAAGTTCATGTCGGTGTGTACTTTACTCCGGCGCTCCTCTCTCTAGCTCCGCCGACGACGACTCTACTACTGGCTCGATGTGGAGCAGTGACGTCATCACGCCTGCTTCCACTTCAGTTTCTATTGACTTGATTTCTTCGACAGACCCCCCCTCCCCCTCCCCCCTCCACTGTGCTGCAGCCTCTGTCAGTCAGCCATTTTTTTTTTTTTTAATCACATGAGCTTCTGCCAAAAACAGCGCCCGTGTTGCCGCCTCCGGCAGGTCCTGTTGTTGTTATCGCTGCGTTCACCATAATGCTTTTCAATGGCGGCAGCTAACGCTACCCACCTCCATACGGGTTTATACATATTTTTATATTACTTCATGGAGAATGGCTTCCAAGTAAAATGAAACTGAACACCTTTTGAAAAAAAAAAATAAAAAATAGTTGCAAAGTAAACATGGAAGGTATGACTACTTATTTGGGTCAACCCGATTCAAAATGGCCGCCGCAGCTGACTTGGCAAACAAAAAAAAAAGGGGGTTGTAACTGAAGTGTTTAAATGAAAGTTGCTGACTGTGCTAAGGAACTAACAGTTTGCTTTTTCTTCAAAATGGCCTTAACAGTCATTTTTAGTAGCATAGCATTTAACCCACGGTGTCCAAAGTACGGCCCGCGGGCCATTTGCGGCCCTTGGAGTGATTTTGTGCGGCCCACAGCTGCATTTTAAGAATGGTATCATTTTGGCTAGCAGGCTTAAAAGGTCGATGCAGACTTTCTGCAAATTTGTTGGCAATACTTTTTTTGTATAATGTTTAAGTTTAACAACAAAATAGATGAAAAGCAATCTTTCAAAATGAGCAGTATTAAGCAAAATATCCTGATGCATGCAGGTAGAGAAATCTAAAAAGTTCATTCTGGTCCTCTGGACATTCAAAAAACAAACAAAACAGAACCAGACTTAACATTTTTAGATTATGTGAAATAACTTTTTTACAAAGCACCACAAACTTTTACTGATTTCTACCAGAAAGGAGACTTTTGGATAATGATTCATACATAATGCAGTTGAGACATTTTTAAACGCATATCACGTGGTATCATCTACATACGAGTTGATCGACTTTATCAAACCTTCTATGAATCTGTTGTAGCGACTTGACATCGGGACGATTTTTCAGAATTTTGATCAACCCGCTTTTTAAAGGACACTTACTCAAATTACACTTTTTATCGCTGAGACTAAAATGAGCTTTCCAAACACAAGAAAACAACAAGCATAAACCCAACAAATCAAATCCTTTTAAATAACCCACATATGAAAACGTTTGGACGCCCCTGTACGACTATATATTTGGGTCAACCCGATTCAAAATGGCCACCACAGCTGACTTGGCAAACACAAAAAATGGTTGTAACTCTGAGGTGTTGAAATGAAAGTTGCTGACTGTGCTAAGGAACTGACAGTTTGGAAAGCTTTTTGTTCAAAATGGCCTTAACGCAGTCATTTTTAGCATATATTTAACCTAAACCTACAGCTAGCTAACAGTGCTAACAGTTGGCCAAGCTCTTGGTTCAAAATGGCTGCCACAGCTAACTTGCCAAACACAAAAATGACAATAAGTCAGTTAATGTTAGTGATATTCAGCTAACATTTTCTGTAGTAGCTGCCCGAAACCTCTAGCTAACCGTAATAGAGCTCATAGCCAGGTTAGCTGCGGCAGCCATTTTGAACAAACAGTTCAGCTAACATTTTGTGTAGTAGCTAACTGAAACGTACACCCTGTAGTACTAAGCTCTTTGCGAAGTTAGCCGGGGTATCCATTTTGAACAAACGGGGGGGAATGGCAGCAACTTTGGTATTATTAAATTTAGCTAAAATTGTGTGTAGTAGCTGACTCGAACGTCCACTTAACCTAGTGCTAACAATTTGCTATACGGTCTTTGTTCAGAATTCAAAATGGCTGACGCAGCTAGTTTCACAAACACAAAAAATGGCTACAACTGTCTTTTTAAAGTCGTTGAGCTGAAGCTCAAGTTTTTGGTGTGGCGGTAGCGGAATGTAGCCTCCTGCTATGTGGCTAATGCTAACAATTTGCTAAGCTTTTTTTTTTATAAATGGCTGCACCTGAGTCTTTATTTTTCTTTTGTTCAGCTAAAATTTGTGTTGTGAATGACTCTCGGCTACTACTACACCACATTTTAGCTTGATAGATTTATAATTCGTTGAGGTGCTGTGACATTTTTCTTGTGTGTGCAGGCTAACATTGATTAGCTGTGGCGGCCATCTTGAATTTGGGTGATTCAAAGCCATGACTGTTGACGTGCTGTGCTCACATACAGTATGTGTTAGAGAATAACGACCAGCTTCTACTGCTCCAGCTTAACTCAATAGCCGAAAGACCGGCCAAGTTTTAGCCCTTTCTGTGTTTGCTAATCTCAGTTAGCTTTGGTGGCCATCTTGAATTTGGGTGACTCAAAGCCATGGCATTAACTGAGTTTGCTAATGTTGATTAGCTGTGGCGGCCATCTTAAATTGGAGTGAATCCAAAAGGCAATTTGATTGTTTTTATTTTTACGTTTCAGTAAAATCAGTCCAGTGTTACTTTATATTTTGGTAACGATCAAGACAAAAGAAGACCGAGGCAATAATCTCTCTGCTTTGCCTTCAGCGGCGGGCGATAAAAATGGCTCCAGTTTGCTGCTGCTGCTGCTTTGTCCTAAATTTAGAGCGTTATCCAGCGCTGCTGTTGCTGTTTTTGCTCAATGCGCAGTGACGCAGTGAGCTGCCACCACTGCTGTGCATTGACTGACTCGTTGAGGAAAAACAACCGAGCTTCACTGTAAACCATAATGAGAAATAGTGCTTTTTTTTTTTTTCCCCTTTTGTCCCAGCTGCTGAAACGTACAGAGCTTTATCTATTTTAGGAGAGTTATTTTATTTAACATATTCTCCTGATCTGTGTCAGCTCACCAGCATGAATTCTGTCGGATAATATTTTCCTGGCGCGTTATAAAAAGAAGAAGGGGGAAAAAATATGGCGCCTCCAATAGCCTGTAACCAGGAAGCTCTGTCATGAGGTGGGGATTTCCAGCCTGCGTTGTAAACTTGAATGGGACCGGGGTTACGCTGCTGAACGTTACACTCCTCCGTACTAACAAGACCAAATTTGACACCACTTAAAACTCCTTGAGGGGATGCGTATCGCCCTAAATTCTTCCATTCTTGTCAATGAGAGGTTATGCTTTGTGCCTTATTGTGAAATGTTGTGAATGACTCTCAGCTACTACCACACCTGCATTAAAGCTATTTTTGCGTTTGCAAAGGTCACGTAGCTATGGCGACCATGGTGAATTGAGTTTACTACAAAACGTTAACGATCGAGTTCTGTTCAAATCTGTCCATATTTACCAGACGCAGGCTACGTTTGCAACAATAATTTATTTCTACTATTTTTAACCTGTTGTAGTCAAACTGAATCTATTAAAAAAGGTTCAGTGGCTTCGCAGTCGTGTCAGATGTTTTACAAGAAAGGAAAAATGAATCTGCCAAAATCCCCTAAAGGAAAAGTGTTTTTTTTTTTGTTTTTTTTTGTAAGAAAAAAGGGTTTTGAAACACAGAGGAGTGTCCCCGGCAGTTCAGATTCCTCCCCTCTCCGTCCTCCTCCTCATCTGGTCTGATTCCAGCTCGTTGCAGCGTTTTAGCCTCGGGCTCCTGGGTGAGGCAATGCGTCTGAAACCTGCAGACACAAAGCAGGATATGTTTGTGCAAGTCCATGTGACGTTGGAAAGAGGAAGCAAGATGTTTAGTCACGTACCCTCATCCGCCTCGCCCATCTACGAAATATGAGGCCACTTTGGCTCCGTGCCCGCGGCCGTGATGGTGCACAGAGGCTCTTGGACACTTAACCCTCCTCGTATACGTTGCACACATACAAGCCCTCGGTGCCGCCTTTACCCCGACAGTATCTTGTTGCCGCTTTGTCTCAAATTTCAGTCCGGAGCAACAAAAGGAAGAGCTGCTGCTGAGCTTTTTCACAAATGACGGCTGCGAGTTGATAAAATAAACAAAGTCCTTCTTTGAGATTGGTGGAAAAGCAGTGGCTTTGATCCTTTTTTATTTTGCTTTCCACTCGTTTGTGTGAGCAAATAGCTGCAGGGTCCAAACAGCTATTGCCCAAGAATGGAGGAGGCATGCTGAGCTCCATTAGAATGTGATCTTATTTTAAGAAGGTTAAAGACCCAGCACTCATTGAAGAAATGTATATCACCCGCTGCCTTCCGCACCAGAGCTTTAGGCTGAGATTGTCTGATACTGAGAAAGGACACGGACAAATCGGTGTTGGTCAAACCTTGAAAATATTATCAAATGTGTTTTCTATGATCTATTAGCACATACGTGTTCATGAGTTTCAGCTGCTACCACACCAATTGTTTTTACATTTTTTGGCTAGCCTTGACCTTTTTTTGTATAGTTTGTTTTGCAATTTTTTTTAGATTTTACCTACCGTGTACCTTTTGCTACTTTTAGCTTTTAGATAGCATTTTACTGTTTTTACTCCTTTAAGGTGTTTTTCTGCTCTTAGCTTCTCAACTTTCACATTTTAGAGTTTTGTTACGATTTTCTATAACTCTTGTTTTGCCACTAGTGTTCGCTTTTTAACCCTCAGATATTGTTTCCCTAGTTTTAGCTTTAAACTTTCAATTGACTGCTTTTAGCTAGCATCCTGCTACTTTTAGCTTGATTTTTTTTTTACCTAGCTAATTTTAGCTATTGTTTTGCCACTTTAATCTAGTGTTTTCTCCTTAACTTTCAGATGCCATTTACTAGTTTTAGTTGTAAACTAGCAGTCTGTTGCTTTTAGCGTCTCGCTACTTTTAACTCTTAGCTAGTCTATTGCAATTTTATTTTACATAGCGATTTGCTCATTTAGCTAGCGTTATGTTGCTAATACTTTTAAGCCAGGATTTTGTTGTTTTGCATTTTTGTAAATAGTGTTTTGCCACTTTAGCTATTGTTTTGCTGCTTAACTTTCAGATACCATTTGTTAGTTTTATCTTTAAATTTTCAATTTACTGCTTTTAGCTAGCATCTTGCTACTTTTAA